TGTTTGAGTAACTCTTTTCAACAGAAGAGTGTGCTGTTCCCCCGCAGGTTGGAAACTGTGAGAATTTAAATAAAATTTCATCAACCTTATTAAAATATGTAGGGACTTGTGTCTTCTTGGGTACAAATCAGTCTAGAGACTTAGAAGCATTTATTAACAGTGAGGCTGCTGAAGGTTTTTAATAACAAAATTACAAATACTCTATCTAATTGTAAGTATATGACTTTTATACTTGGTTTTTAAGGGGAAAAATACTTTTTTTTGAGGCAAAGTAACTCCGTCAGAGCACCTTCTGTGATTAGCGCTATTGTATTCTTAAATTTTGATTGATAGAGATAATAGTTTTCACTTAAAAATACAGACAGGTACTTTAACTTTCCATGACAATAGCTATTTGCATTTCTTTTATCTTTTTGTTTAACATTTGTGGGGGTTGGGATGGATTTGATTATTAACTCTTATTGCACACTAAAGGTGAATCTAAAACAAAGGCTTTGTTAGAGCTTCAAAGGGAAAACAGCAAATATTGTTTTTAGGTTTCAACATTTAAAGGCTGTTAAAGGATACCTATAAAATATTTTCACATGACCACGGCTAGGGTTTTCCTTTTCTGTAAGGTAGGAGAGAGTCATTTTTCCAAATGAGATGGGCCGATGTGGAGTTAGTGGGGGGCTGCCAGTCTGAAGTAATTTCACGGGCAAGCATCGACTGGGGTTTACTGCACCACGTGGCTTCATGTGTAATATTTTAGGTTTTTGCTCTACTAGAATGGACTCCAAAGTTAGGTACTATGATCTGATGAGGGCCCCAGAGGATGAGGAGAAAGGAAGTAAAATGTTACTTGCAGGGATAGGAGGGAGATTTGGAGAATGATGGATTCAAAGTCACACATTTCTTTGATAGAGACAAGTAAAAGAAGTGTAGTGTTTGTGAAGCTGCAAGCCTGGGTAGCGTCCAACTTTGCCTCTGGTCTCAGAGACCCCGACTGCACAGCAGCTTCTTCCTTCCTTTTCTTTCCTGTTTCCTTCCTTTATTCTTTTCCTTTCTTTTTCCCCTGTTTTTCTCTATTTTTTCCTTTCTCCCCTTTTTATTTTCTTCCTTCTTTTCTTTCTTCATGCCCCACCTTCCCCACTTTTTTTTTTTTTTTTTTTTTTTTTTGGCAAATCTGACTCAGTATTTGAAGTCTTAAGGGCATAGAACAAACTTTGAGATTGATTTTGGAGTAGATTTTCTTAAATACGGAAGATAAAGTGACCCTTGTCTTATATTTTTCAATAGTCAAATATATGTCGATGTCCTTCTACTTTCTAAGAAGTCATTGAAAAACAAGATATTAAAGCCCACAGGAGATAAGATTCCCTATTTAAAGAGGCAGCAAATTCTTGGAAATTGGCTTATTTGGACCAGTTTTTGCCAATGAGTACAAGCCGTTTGATTGGAGGATTTGAGGGTGTGGGAAGTTTGAACCATGTTCCTTCCTCAGTTTCCTAATAAGAAAGTGTCCTCTAGCCATAGACCTACTGAACTGCCCGCCTAATCACCACCCAGGGGTTCACTTTGCTCATCTTTGCATCTTTAATAAGACTGGCACACAATAGGTTCTCAGCCAGTATTGGGTAGGCTGAAGGTTGAGATGAACTATGTTGGGCATACTTCAGAGTTGCTTTTGCACAGTTATATAAGATTCAGTATAATGGAGAAATCTTAATGCAGATAATTTATTTTAGCTGTCAAGAAAGGGAAGGGGAAAATACTATAAACGGGGAAAAACGAGCCGATATTGTTCATTTTCAGTTTTGTGAAATGAGATTGCACCTCCACATTTACCTGCAACTCAGTTCCAAGCAGGACATACTAGTGGACACTGTGTATTATGTGTCACACAGATTAAATTAAGGGCAAAATATACCCATAGAAAGTATGATATTGAAACACTATAATAATGTGAGGGTTCTTTAGAATAACAGCCCTAATTCGGGAGGAGGGGTGGTTGGGGAGGCAGAGAAAGAGGAATGTACATTTAGTGTCTGACCCTAGAGTTCGCAGTAGAAATTTGTGTCCTGGACATGGTTTTTGTGGTCACTGTGTAGCTTCAGGTAGATGACACTGTTGCAATCAATAGTGAAGAGGCCACGGAACAATTCTAGTGTTCACAGAATCTTAACTGTTGCAGAGAATGACATAAAGGAAAATAAGTAATTTCTGTTTACCGTATCCTTGGCTCACTTTTAAAACCTAAAACCAGTAGGAAACTTAAAAAAGAAAGAGAAAAAGAAAAAAAAAAAACGCAATTCGTATGGAGACAGCATTTTTTAAAAGAAGACAAGTGGGCTGGAGGGGAATGTATTTCTTTTATCTTTTTTTTTTTAACCTAAAAGCTTTGCATAATCATTTAATTTTAGTTTTGGTGCTTGTGCTGCCGGTAAGCATACAGGTAAATAGTTGATCTATTTGATAAGTAAAAGTGATTTAAAGAAAATAGCAAATATAGTATTGGAAAGGGAAGTTTTATGCTTTGGAAAAAATGAAACGCATATTTTTCTGCTAGTTGTTGGTTTCCAATTCTTCTAAGCTAGTAATGAGGCAGACTCGGGCCCCAGTACTACCCCCTAATTTTCTTGTCTATTATATTGACACATTTCATTTAATTTAGCATGATGGCAAACAGCTGTTGAACTATTAATCTTTTCTCAGCAAAACTAGAAAAATGTCTTTTAGATTACTTTGTTAATGTATACCTTTTCTAAAAATGAAAATCAACAGAAATAAATGAATGAGTGGCCAGTCGTGCATGTGCACCAAAATTTATGGAACTTCAAAATAGAGAAAGATAGAGATTATATCCTACTGCCAATTTTTTATGTGTAAGTGAAAATTAAATGTAGTCAGTTTTGTATTGTTTTAGTATTTATAAATTGGAGGGTCAGTTGTATGATTTTGTTGTAATTCTTCCCCCAGTATCCCTAGGGGAAAAAAATGATACTTGTAAAATCTGAGGCTGAAGCAGCTTCTATTTTTGTTCTGTGTTCACTTAAACACACTATACTGTGTGGATAGGTGAGTAGAAAAACAGGTCTGGTGTTTACCTGAAAATATTCTGCAAGTTCAAATGCAGCGCTGGAGATAACTTTATTCCAAGTAGGCATTTTCAGCAGTTTTTTTAAAAAATTAAATTTTAATGAGGTCCAGTTGTTTGCCAGGCCTATATGATAGCAAATCTCATCTGCATTGCAAAGTCTAATACTATAGGTCTGACTGCCAAACATGCAAAAATAGACACAGCTCAATAGATAAACATATAAATTAGTTTACAGTGCATGTATTGGAGAACATCTCAAGTAAAAAGGAGAGAGAAAAAGGCATTCTTGCTTTGAATTGAGAAGGATCTGCCAAAGTTCACTTGCTTTACATTTAAGATTTGATGAGTGGTAGATGTAGAAATTTCTGTGTGTGCTTTGTATGTACGGAGCTCTGATTTGTGTAGAGTGGGTCTCTGCAGATCTTAGCTCTACCTTGAGGACTTGACCATCTTTGCTCTGTTTTTCTTTCTTATCATTGCTTGCCCTGAAATAGACTTCTCACCACTGGAGAAACCAATCTTGGGGACATACATCAGCAGTAAAGCACACGATTTTCATTTTCAATTTGAATTGTTTTGTGTAAAAACAAAAAGGTTTTGGTCAGGCTGCAAAATAGTAATTTTAAGTCCCAGAGCTAGGGTTTTTCCCCACCCAAATGGTGAACATTTATGGTGAAAACCTCCAATTTCCTCTTACAGTAAACATGAAAATTATGATTTCACTCAGAGCCTGCATCTTTTTCCAATCTTAATGGCAAGAATCTGCATACACTTGCTTGTGGAAATGTCATAAATTGGCCTTGGATCAATTCCTCAAAGATAGTACACACCAAAGTTCCACTTTCAAATTTTTACCCCTCGTGAAATAAGATTTTACTCTTCTCAATGATGTTTGCCTTTCCACATTCAGGGCTGACAGCAGAGGGATAAGCAGGGATATCTTCCTATAAAATTAAACCACTTCATTACATATTATTCTGAAGAGTGAGCAAAAAGATATGAACATTTTAGTAAAATGATGATATGATTTCGCCACCTTAAAAATTATATGAGCATTTGGTCAATGGATATGGAATGAATCCTGTACCCTCTTAGTAACTTGATCTAAATTAATAAACAAATGTTTTTCTTTTCACTTGTGCCATATGTTGATCCCAGTTACATGGGCAGAAAGAGGCAGCTTGTAATGTTTCTTAAAGGATTAAACACTGTTTTGCATACGGGAGTATGCAGATGCAGGAGTAGATGTGGGGTAAAATGTGTTCCATGGTTTCTTTGTGTTTTAGGAAGCTTGATTTCAATTGTTTGTTTCATGTGACATGAACCTTTTTTATTTAACTTAGTAGCTCCCGTAGATACATGCTAGGAGAAAAACATTCTGTGAACAGCTTTCACTAGCAATTAACTCCCTGCCCCTCCCCAAACTGAAAATGGTGCTGCTTTCATTCATTTTGAAAGGTCCAAAGTGGCAGAAAGCATGTTGTCTACAAGACCTAACTCTCTTCCAAAAGGGAAAAAAATAACTCTCTGCTTTAATGAAATAAGGGATGTTGTGGATGTTAACCAAACAGAGACACGTTCAAGTGGCAGTCTGGTTTCCAAAAACAAAGGCCTACGAGTCACATATTATTCTACGTGAAAATAAATTGATAGACAACAAGATGAGAAAAAGTTGATACACAACATTTGAAATGTTTCACCTTGACTTTTTCCCCCCAAGTAGATTTTGTTGTCTTGAAGAGCTCAAAGGCATATGGTCCAGATAAGTAGAGATTCTTGGGACTTGTTTTTATTAACCCTGAAAGTCATTTGCCATTAAATAGAATTGAGTTCTTTTGTTGTTTCGCTTGTGTCTGTCCTTGGCAGAGGTGGTTGCTACTTCTCTTGACATTCAGATTTTGATGTTCTCTTTTGTTTTCAGGGTAAGACGTGACCTTTTGAGGTGACTATAACTGAAGATTGCTTTACAGAAGCCAAAAAAGGTAAATGCAAATGTGATTAGTGAAGTTATATCCAGGGCTGTGTCTTTTGCCTTCCAGGCATTTTAATTCAGTTGTTTTTTGGTCTGTATTTGTCAAATAAACATGTGTTTATTTGCGTGTGAGTACATATGTGGTGTATTTTTGAAAGTCCTAAGAAAAACCGTTGCCCTTAAGAAATGGTCCACAGATTCACATTTTCCCCCCAAATATTATCAAACTCTTCTCTTTTTGTTGAAGCTGAACTTATTTTTATTTTTTAAATTTATGTTTTGCTTGTTGACTTGGTAGGTTTAAAGTTAGAAAGGAATATTCACATCACAAAAGTGGTGATTCATAAAATTAACTTGCTGCAAACAAGAGTAACGCATGTCAGTATTGTGTGCTGAAGTGGTGTCATCCGATTGATGTTCATCTGGCGGCTTTATAATCACCTTCTTTCAGAAATTAACAGTCAGGCACCATAGCAACACGCCACATTGGTGTAACTGCTGAGCAGTGTGAGGCACATCCCTGTAATGTCAGCACTAGGCTGCCTTGTTCTCTTGACCTTGCTTGAAAATCAAATGAGTACTTGATTTTAAAATTAGAAGTTTTCAGAGAGACTAATGTAGCTTAATGAATTAAAGCCAAATTTAATTTTTTCAAATTCACTTTTGGGAGGGGGAATGAAAAAGTACTCCAGTTAAAATGGTTATGGATGCTACATATTTACTTGATTTCAGAAGTACCTCTCTGATAAAGGCGGTGATCATCTTACACAAGATAATTCTTCCGGTCATTTTAACATCCGATATTTCTCAAGCAGTAGCATCTTCGTTTCATTTAGAATTTTGGCCTTTAATAGTTCCATTCGATTTAGTAGATTTGTGTCTGTTTAAAAACAGGGTACCTGCCCGCATGGTTGAACAAAGCCTTTGCTGAGCTTTTACTGAAGTTTATGTATTTGCCAGATACAGACTTCTTGTTGAGTTGAACAGAGTTTTTTTGTGGAACTTTCATAATGTGAAGAATCTTTGGTCAGATTTTGATAAATCTCACCTGGAGCTTGGGGGAGTTCTAGAATGCATATATATAAAGGGTATGGATTTGTTTTTGTAGTTGCATTCTGGCACATTTAATTTGGGCCAGAAAAATCAGACTTCCATCATTTCACCTTCTATATTGTTTAAATGAAACCTTTGCAGGATCTACCTAATTGTATTTCAAAGAGGAGAAACATATGTTTCAGATGTTTCGGCATGGAAGGAATTGATTCCCAACCAGTAATTGGGATTATCAAGTCACAACAGAACACTTCCCTTTGCTGAGGCTCAATTTTCTTTTTCTTTTTTTCTTTTTTCTTTTTTTTTTTTTTTTTTTTTTTTGAGACGGAGTCTCGCTCTGTTGCCCAGGCTGGAGTGCAGTGGCAGGATCTTGGCTCACTGTAACCTCTGCCTCCTGGGTTCAAGTGATTCTCCTGCCCCACCCTCCCGAGTAGCTGGAATTACAGGCACTCGCCAGCACACCCAGCTAATTTTTGTGTTTTTAGTAGAGACAGGGTTTCACCATGTTGGTCAGGCTGGTCTCAAACTCCTGACCTCGTGATCCGCCCACCTCAGCCTCCCAAAGTGTTGGAATTACAGGCATGAGCCACCACACCTGGTCTGAACTTTCTGATCTTTAAAAGGAAGGCATGAATCTATATCAGGATCTGCAAACTTTTTCTGTCAAGGGCCACATAGTAAATATTTTCTGTTTGTAGGGGCATTCAGCCTCTGTTGCAGTTACTCAGCAAGGTGGTAATTTGCTGTCTCCTGGTCTCTGTAATCTCTCAGAGTGATCTCAATCCAAGATGCTGCTCATGCAAAGTGGTGCCACATGTTTAACTCATCTCCTACTGTCAGCAGAGTTTCTGGCAAAGCTGAAAATTATGATTAAATAGGCCAGGCATGGTGGCTCATGCCTGTAATCCCTGCACTCTGGGAGGCTGAGGTGGGTGGATCACCTGAGGTCGGGAGTTCAAGACCAGCGTGGCGAAACACGGTGAAACCCCGTCTCTACTAAAAATACAAAAATTAGCTGGACGTGGTGGCAGGCTCCTGTAATCCCAGCTACTCAGGAGGCTGAGGCAGGAGAATCGCTTGAACCCAGGAGGTGGAGCTTGCAGCGAACCAAGATTGCACCACTGCACTCCAGCCTGGGTGACAGAAGGAGACTCTGTCTCCAAAAAAAAAAAAAAAAAAAAAAAAAAAGATTAAACAAAGCTGAAAAAGTGGTAGAAAAGATGAAAAGTTTAGCCAGAGAGTTGGCTTATCCATACAGCTCCAAATACAACCTTCACTGACGGGTTTTCATTTGTTGTTTGTATTGGTTTTGTGTTTTTTGTAATCACCTGTAAGCATGAATTATTTTTCTTCTGACTCAATGTCTTTATAATGTCCATTCTTTCACTTATTACCTGAAAATGGAAATACAGTCCCCACCCCCCCCAAATTCTGTAATATTATTGAAAGTTAAAAATATCATAGGTCAAGGGAAAATTTGGAAAGAAATGTTTCTAGAAATGTGTGATTGGCATTGCCTGAGAAAGATAGTCCATATTACCAAAAAAAAAAAAAAAAGTTTTCTTCATAATCACTATCAAGTGCATGATCTATTATATTATTTAATATCGTGCAAATAAGGCCCTTCCTTGTAAAATTTCTTGATCATAAAAGTATTTTATGTGCTCAGTCTCTATAGTTGTTCTCTACTTTCAGCTTTTTTTGTTGTCTTTGTCTTTGTTCTGTATACATTGTCTTTGTCTGTTCGGTGTTGCTAGAAAGGAATACCTGAGGCTGGGTAATTTATAAAGAAAAAAAATTTATTTGGTTCATAATTCTGCAGACTGTACAAGAAACATGCGGCAGCATCTGCTTCTAGTAACGACCTCAGGAAGCTTCCAGTCATGGCAGAAGGGGAAGTTTGGAAGAGGCGTGTCACATGACAAGAGAAAAAGGAAGCTTGGAGGGAAGGGGAGCCAGGCTCTTTTTAACAACCAGATTTCTCATGAACTAATAGAGCAGGAACTCAGTCATTACTTTGGGGAAGACTCTGAGCCATTCATGAGAGATCTGCCCCCATGACCCAAACACCTTCTATTGGCCGGTCCTCTGACAATTGGGGATCAGATTTCAAGATGAGATTTGGAGGGGATGGATTTCCAAAGTATATCATACATCATCTTCAGTATTCCTATTCCAAGTGAACATTTCATTACTTAACACTTTTTCTTTTACAGTATCCATTCCATCTGTGTTTTGATGCTAATTTCAAATTTTGGGGAGAAATAAGTTAGGGTATATAGACGCAAGTAGTATACATAATTTTTACTTTTGAACAAGGTAAAAGATCTTTCAAAGACTAATTTGTATATATCTTGATCTCTTATCTAGGAAGAAATAAAAGGGAAATATACAATTTAAAGAGATGTTTCAAGTGAGTATAGTGGTTAGCATTTCTTCCTGATGAGTAAGCCTTAAATGAGAAGACCTTACCATCCAACAATGGACAAAAAAATCAGCATCATCTTTCACACTGCAAGAAGCATGTAGACTTCAGATGCCAGGAGCTTCTCAGTAAATAACGCGCCCCAAATTTGAAACCGGGGAATTATTAACAGTCAGTATAGATGCACAGAAATATGCCTACAAAGGTACTATGGAAATAACTGATTATATACATAAAAGTAGCCAGGCAAATTCAGAAAACCAGATGAAGCGATTTTGAAAATTTAGATTCTAAGGTCTGAAGAGTCGTAAATAACAGTCATCATACTCGGTAGTGATATAACAATTTTCTTCCAACTAGATCTGAGTGCTTTACAAAATGGGTCTGGTTGCTGGCATTCCTAAGAGGTAGCTGGCAATTCTTATAATTCCCACTTTACAGACTGGAAAAATGGTCCTGTTGATGATAAATAGTTTACCTAAGGTCATCCAGAATGTCAAGATGGAAACTAAAGAGAGACGCACTGGTCACAATTATACAGATGTCATTCTGTTATGGTTGCCTTGGTTTGGTGATCTAATAAAGGTTTATGTGGCATTTTTCCCTGCCTCCCTTCACCATTGACAATTTACCCTCATGCATTTGCTTAAAATTCAAATCCAATTTGTAAAATTCGTCATCTTATATTCAATTCTGAATGGCATTGAGAGTTGAAGATAATCGTCAAGACCGTATAGATTACAATTAAAATGGTTATTTTTAAGCATTAGGTATCTCCAAGCTTCACATTTTATGTGTTGGTTCAGTTTCTTTTTAAAGTCAAGTTATTTGAGAGAAAATTAAAAAACAATCAAAAGGAGGTATAATCATTGCAATTCCCCCCCCCCATCCCTAATTTGAGCTGTTTTATGTTGGATGAAGGAATATAAATGCATCCTTATAGATAACATTCATCGTGTCTTACCTATTATAAATTATTTCTTGGTGAAAAATAAAGCTAAAATGCTCTTCATTTATTTGAAGTATAAGTTCCTTTAAAAGTATATATATGAGTGATTTGAATACTTACCTAAAGACAACAGCAATTCTGAGCTAAACCCATTCAAAACTACCTTTTTATAGTAGTTAGCATTTGAATTATGTGACTGTTAATTAAGGAAGATGTTATGAAGACACTGTAAGCAGTCTTCATTGAGTTACCAGATGACCGTATTGGCTGGAATGTGATCAGTCAATTCAGTTAAGCATTGAAATGCTCCCTGACCGCCCCCACTCGCCGCACATACAGGCAGTATACTCATGCCTGGGTTGTAACAGTCAGGGTAAAGACTAGGCTGGTGTAACAAAGAGACCCAATGTAAAATGGCTTAAATAAAATAGAAGCCTACTTCTCTCATGAAACAACCTGACCAATGTAGCTTGTCTGGGCAGATTCTTTCTGTCTGTGCTCTCCTCCCTTCGGGCTTTGTCCTTATCATAGGGTTGAAGCTATGTTGTTGCCGCACTGTGGAGATGTCCAAAGCAAGCAATTT